CGTTCTTCTCGATTGAATCACCTTGTGTGTTTAGCTAAATAGATCTGATTATTTTATAATAATTCAGGTTTGAAAACCAATTATCAAACTATAGAAAGTACTTTTTATTTGTTGATCCATTAATGCCATCTCTGCACCTTTATCCTTAAAAATGATAAGCCTATAGTCATGAATATATTCTTTGCAATATTATTTATAATATGTGAACATCCGAAATAATCTAGATATCCTCTGAATTACCTGTATTATGTATACTATTTGATGAAATTTTAGCAGCCATCGAAAGTGATCACTCTGGACACCATTTAGAAACATGAGAAAATGCTTATGCTACGTGGCTGAGCAAAAAAGGTCACCAGGTAATAGCTATTTAAAAAATGTATGCATGTGGAAGACTGGATGAGAAGAGAAAAAAGAGCCATAATACTGTTAGGATTTTCCGATTTAATTTTACCTTCTGTGTTCTGAATTCTCTGTATGGCAAATCTTTTTGATTTCTCATCCTGATTTTAATTATGAGATTAAATTCACTGGAATTTTGTTTGTCAATTATAATTTGCTAATGTAATACTGTGTCTGAGACATTTCTTTTGGGGATCAGCATAGTCTAAAATTTTCTTGAGTTTATCAGAGAAACCAGGCCAAACTTACATTCAGCAGTCAAGGAATAGATCCCATTTTATTTATGGTGATTATTAGGAAAAATATGTTTTAGAAGCTTTGGGAAATTTATTCTGTTCAGATCGGTACCCAATAACTCAGATACACATCTAATGCTTTGCAGACTTTTCCAGCCCTTCTACACTGTATCTTTCACCAGTACAAGTTTTCACAAGAGATTTTCTCTTTCTTCTTTATTTTTTCTAAGGCAAGTATAATGTGAGAATAGCTATTTCAGTATATTTCTCCTGTCTCATTTCTCGTCAGGAGAAACGTTAAGCTAGAAAAAAATAATTATATAAAACTGTCAAAAATACATCTTATGCAGAGGCAGTTGACTAAATTCTTTGAAACCTCAGAAAAGACTGGTTTTAGGACAGATTTTAAGCTGATTCTTAGTTATCAACTGTGCTGAAATATTTTTAGGATTCTTCCTAAATGCATCCCACAAGAGAGTAAAGAGTATAAAATTGGAGTAACTTTAGATCTTCTTTCTTGTCAATGTGATAAAGAGTAAGCTAAAATAAAAAATAGAATGTTAGTTCCCCTGCTGCCAGTTCATTTTTGATCAAGTTCAAGAATGCCGGAATTATTGAGGAGCTAACAATAGTTATGAGAGATCACATATAGGCCTATTGCAAATTTCTTGTAGGATAAGGCTGCATTAACATAGATTTGCTTAAACAGAAAAATAGCCTTTGTTTATGAGGTAGCGTATGTTTAGCATAAATTTCATATATATACATAAAACTTTTAATTTTCATATAATATAGGTGTGTCTGTCTTCCTGGGTATGGTGATGAGCCTTATATAGTATGTTTTGGTTAGGTACTGGGAATCTGTGTTTTAGATAGCTCCACAGCTGATTTGGATTCTGAGCCAGAGAGGGGGATAATTGTTCTAAATGACAGCTTGGTTGTTTTTGCTTTTTAAATTATAAACTCCTGGTTATACATTTCTTCTTCTGTTCAATAAGATAAATGCACTAATAAAAATAGAATCTTGGATAACTTCTAAGTCATCATTGTATTCTTAGTATCCTGGTGTCTGGCACATAGTAGTGCTTCAATAAATTTTTAAAATTAGATAAATTGAATGAGGTGATGAATGGAGTTGGCTTATTGTGTGTATGTGGAATACAAAGCTTTAGCTACTTTGAGGTTTCCAAATAGTATAAGATGTCATTTATAATGTTCTTTTTAAGATGGAGCGTGATATAGATTATAGAGTCCTTCTTTAAGAAGCACTTACCTCAATAATAGAAAGTGAATATAACAGAAGAAAGACACATGGATTTAAATGCAATCATTTTGTACAAATCCAAGCAAACTTTTGATTTTTAAGTCATAGCAGGGTATAGTTTCTCTTTCTTGCCTCACTACAAAATAAAATGCTCAGTATCTGCATTGGCTCAGATTGTGAAAAGATACTTGAAAAATAAAAGCTGTTTCTTTGAGGCTTGAAGTAGGAAGAAAATATTAAAAGGACATTCTGTGTTTTAGATGGCCCTCTTGTGGTAAAAAGGTCAAACTATCCCAAATGAAAATTGCTGGAGACTTTAACAGTAAGAGTCAAAATTGAGCAGACAAATGAGAAATAATCCATTTTTATCTTTTCCCTGGGATCCCCATGGCAAAATTAACAGATATAAAACAAACAGACAGTAACAAAAACTAATCTTGTTTATCTGCTTTATATAGCTACCAAGTGAATCGCTAATGATTAAAAACAAAACAAAACAAAAAAACTGGAAACATTTTAGTAAAAAGCTGTCAAATTTTATTTGTTATACTTTTCACTTTGAAATAATTTCAAATTTACACAAAAGTCACAAAAATAGAACTAAGAGTTCCTGCCTGCCCTTCACTGAGCTAAATATTAACATCTTATATCTTTATCTAACCATAGTATCTCTTATAAAACCATAAAATTAGCATTGCTATGATGCTGTTTACCAATCCACAGACCTTAATCAAATTTCACCAGTTGTCCTACCAATATCCCTTCTCTGACTCCAAGATCATCTACTCTGTGAGTGTCTCAGTCTTTCTTTGTCTTTTATGACCTTGACACTTTGGAAGAGTACTGGTTAGTTATTTTGTAAAACATCCTTCCATTCAGTTTGTCTGATCTTTTTTTATGAGTAAATTCAGACAGTTGTATATGAAGTGATTTTACGCCCTTTTTACTGCATCATATCAATAGGTACATGATGCCATTATGTCTCTTTAGTGGTAATGTTAACTTTGATCTCTGGTTTAAGTGGTGTCTGCCAGGTTTCTTCACTGTAAAGTTACTGTTTTTTGCCTTGGTAATTAGTAAGTATATCAAAATAGTTTTAGATTAGATGTTTTATCATAATTAATATCATAAATGCTTTTCCTTTCTTATGGGCATTTCACCAAAATGGGATAATAATTTGTATACTAAACTAGGAATTGCTGAAGTTATTTTGTTCCATTGTTTGCAGATTATCTTTTCCCCTTTCATCTATAGCCACCAATCTTGAACTTTAAGTTAAAATCTTCAGAAAGATTCTGTTCATTCATGTTGACTGAACCTCATGCACTTAATGACCTCATAGGTGTGTCGAGAGTACCAGCGTGGCAATTGCAACAGAGGAGAAAATGATTGTCGGTTTGCTCATCCTGCTGACAGCACAATGATTGACACCAATGACAACACAGTTACTGTGTGTATGGATTACATCAAAGGGAGATGCTCTCGGGAAAAGTGCAAATACTTTCATCCCCCTGCACATTTGCAAGCCAAGATCAAGGCTGCCCAATACCAGGTCAACCAGGCTGCAGCAGCACAGGCTGCAGCCACCGCAGCTGCCATGGTGAGTAGAAACATCAGCTCTCTCCTTGTTAGCAGTCAAAAAAGCAAAGTGAGCAACTATATCTGACTACAAGCTATTCATTTATTAACATTTTTTTTAAATTTTTGCTGAAGATATGTTTGTTCAGGTATCCCAGACAATACATAAAGAAGTTACGGTTCACAGAAGTGAGGGTAACTCCTCCAATGGTTCAGATTGCTCCTACTCTTGGCCTAACTTTTAATAATCTATCTTATTCTGGATGTAGGGTTTCTGAAACTTCTGCTTTGTAAAGAACCACCTGTCTCCTTTTCAATTTAACGATATTGCCATTTCGGTCTTCTTATTTCTGTGTGCCATCTAATCAGCCATTGTTTTCCTTTGGTGTGTTCTTTTTGCACATCAAGGCTCTTTACATATATCTTGCTTTTAACAATAACATAATCTGGAGCTATTTAGGAGAACTGCTTCACCAAATTGTTTTTAGAATTAGCTATAGGATTTCAAATAGTATGCTATCTAGATTGTCTGAAATAATATTGTGGCATAAACATAATAATAAAACCAGAGAAGCTTGACTATGCCATTTATATAGAAATTTCAGAGAAAGACAGCCGTCTTAAAGGAGTTAGAAATTGAATCATTTAGAATAGATTCTGAACTATATTCTTAAGGTAAATTTTAATGTGATCTAATAGCTGATTTTAATGAGTCCATTCTTTATTCTTTGCTTAGCTGTTTTAATGTTGTCCTTTTTTACATAAATATATGACTTAGTCATTAAAATATTCATTAAAACATCACTGTGCAGTATTTCATAGCACAGTGAAATAATCATGAGAGAGGTCTTTTCTGTGTTTGTTTATGGATACTTGAGCAAAAATACAGAAGGCAGACTCTCTCCTCCTCTCTTCCTTTCACTCTTTTTTTTCTTGGAATATCTTGTTTGTAATTAACTACAAAGAGGAGTTATCCTCCCAATAACAACTCAGTAGTGCCTTTATTGTGCATGCTTAGTCTTGTTATTCGTTGTATATGGCATTCCGATGATTTGTTTTTTTATTTGTTTTTTCTCACCTACCCAAAATGCACTGCTGCCCCCATGATGCACCTCTGCTTGCTGTTTATGTTAATGCGCTTGAACCCCACTGGCCCATTGCCATCATGTGCTCGCTGCCTGCTAATTAAGACTCAGTCGGCTGTCAAATCACTGAAGCGACCCCTCGAGGCAACCTTTGACCTGGTACTATGACCTTTCACCTTTTAGCTTGGCATGTAGCTTTATTGTAGATACAAGGTTTTTTTTTTTTTAATCAATTTTAAAATATATATTCCTTTTTCTGTTGTAAAGTTGTAAAGTACAATGAAAAACTGAGTGTGGT